TCCTGAAACAAAACAAACCTAGTTTTTGTTTCATGTAATCATTTTCCCTCTTGATGCAGTCCATGCTTGAGGGTATTTCTTACTGTTAGAAGAAATGCAAATGTTCCTTCAGGATTTTCCTATATTCATCATCTTAGATGTGTTTAATTTGTACTTTGAAAATCTATCTGATTTTCACTTTCGTTGATTTTGCTGGTGATTATGTGCCAGATTATGGTGCCAGATCTCTGTAAGAACCTGTCGTGTCTTCTAGCAATAAAAAGAAACCTGATGGTCAGGGAAGTCTCTTTCCCACCATGCATGGTCCATGCTTTATACTATAATGTTGTGCAAGCTTCAGAACTTCTTCTGTGTTATATGATTTGGAAGATAAAATTTATTATTCCATGAAGAACAGAATGATAATGTGCTTTGATGTATAAAAGTCAAAGGACTGCTGCCTCTGCCTGAGTAAATCCTATAATTTCCCACCTTCTGTTTGTGCCCCCTTCTTAGTGATTATGGCCCAGATTGCATGTGATGCTAAGCCAAACCATGACTCAGCGCAAATGTGCAGGTTCACAGAGCAGACTCTAATGTGTTTCACCCCTGGCCCTGCTACTGTCAAATGACCCAGGCTCAGCCATGGTTTGTCTTAGTTATGTGCAAACCCACACTTGTGATCTCCCCCCCCCCACTGCTGCCCAGACAAACCACAAGCACTAAACTAGGGGAGGGGGACTTTTTGCAGCTTGTGGTTTGTTGAGTGTGACAGACCACAAGACTGGGTTTTATTGTAATGCTAAGCCAAATCGTGATTTACATCCTGGTAGCATGGCAGCAGCAAGGCCAGGGGAGAAATATAGCACATGTTCATTCTGGAAACCCACACATTAGCTTGTTCACACTAAGGGATGGTTTGGCTTCCTGTTACATGTGAATTGGGTCATTGCCTATGTAGGCTCTCAATTCTTCAAATAATGGTTTATAGCAGTCATGTTGTTTGATTTATCACACAGGAAAGATGGTTGAGATGACCTCAGCATTTTCAGAAGATGACCACCTTCAGACACAACCTGCCTCTGATTTACCAGGTGCTTGAAACACACAGTGGATAGTCATTATTTTCATAACCTGCTTATCAGATTCTGGGTGCATTGGCTTGATTACTGTTAGAATTTTAGACTAAATTGAGATTTAATTTGGTAACTCTTGAATATTTTAATAGGATGGGTTATAAGCGTCTACAGTGCAATTAATGAAATAACAGTTTTATAACAGGAAAAGATTGTGGAAGAATTTAATCCATACATAGCTAGTAAAATGCTCAATTGCTGCATACATTAAAATCAATCCAATTAAATTTGGGCAATAACTTTGGTTTATCCGTACATAGCTTTAGAAAGTACTATGCACATCTGCACTCAGGACCAATATGTTATTGTAAATATTGCTAGGAGTGTACTAAAAATATCTAGAACAATTAATTTTCAACTATCTTGATAATTTTGGAGTCCAACCACTATCTTTACTTGGAAGTAAGCCCTATTGTTGAACAGGGGTGTTTACACAAGTAAAGTTTCATAGTATTGCAGTCAGTGAGACTGCACTATATAGAGAGCCAGTGTGGTGTAGTGGTTAAGAGCGGTAGTGTCGTAATCTGGGGAACCGGGTTCGCGTCTCTGCTCCTCCACATGCAGCTGCTGGGTGACCTTGGGCCAGTCACACTTCTTTGAAGTCTCTCAGCCCCACTCACCTCACAGAGTGTTTGTTGTGGGGGAGGAAGGGAAAGGAGAATGTTAGCCGCTTTGAGACTCCTGAAGGGGAGTGAAAGGCGGGATATCAAATCCAAAACTCTTCTTCTTCTTCTTCTTCTTACCAGTGTATGCATTTTCTGCCTTTGAGAATCAGGTTGGAGCCTGCCAAAGAATAGCACTAGGTCTTAGGCAGAGTATCCTCAGAGTTGTTACCTGATCAGATGGGACTTCAGAAACACCATCTATTACAAGAAGGCATGGCTCTTTCCTAGTATCAGCATCACCTTACTGTTTAGATTCAATTGCAATCTGTTCTCCATGATATGTGACTAATCTCCAGCTGCTGGTGGTTCATGCCAGAGATAGCTGCTGCTGCTGCATGCTTAGTTAAACTTAAGGCTGGCATCCACCCCAAACCATAAATGAGCCCTGCAAACAGTGTCACATTGATGTAAGATTGCATTGATGATACGACAAGTATTGCAATGCTTAGTGTTAACTATCAATGATATAACAGCCTCCCTACTTCTCAGGCTTTAATTTCTAGTACTGTATACAAAAAACAGACCTAATCAAGGTGGCACACAAAAATTAACTGTATCAAAATAAGTTAACATGTCTCAGCCAATATGAATGATCTGTTTTTTTGCCACAGCAATTCAGTACAGTACTTGGAATAGGAATATTCCTCTCTTTGAACCTCACTTTGGTTTCCAAAGGTGCATGGCAGCTGTCAATGGGAATAGAATGGCTGCACTCCCCAAAATAGGGGGGTGGAGGTCTCCCTCCCCCAGCTATGGTACATGGTGGGCAGTGGGCTCCCCCCCCCAGCCATTTTTGATGATGCCATGCAGCTCATGCAGTACTGTATATAGACGCAGCACTGTGGGAATAATAAATGCTGCCCACTCAAAGCAGATATTTCTGTAAATATAAGCTTGTGTAGACAATAAACCAAACATTACCAAAATGATATAATTGCCGCTGAAAACTGCACCTGTATATTATAGGTTCTAAATGAGGGTGGCAATGGGGGGAGAAATTGATGGGAAAGGGGGTTACAGAAAAAGAGAAGTGGAGGCCCTGCCTCATAGGCAAGTTACCTGTTGCCTTCCAAATGCTGTTCTTCTACAACTCCCATCAGCCTTTGGAGGGCTCGCCAATGGTCAGAGATTTTAGGTCTTGTAGTTCAACATCTAGAGGGCCACAGGTTAGACACCCTTGTTCTGCCCACTTTTGTGTCCTGCATCCCCAGACTTTGCTCTTGTCTACTGCCAGGATGTGACCTCTAACAATTCTCCCCAAGTGAATGCACCCCTTGAAGGGAAAATAAATGCTTCTCACTACTGTTCTGTGTGTCTGTAGTAACATTGGCCCCAGATATGTGGTGTGGGTATTTAGTGCACAGTATAGTTTATAAACATTGAATTTTTCAGTTTTCTAATTTTCAGGCATTACTGCAGTGAGCTGGAGCTCAGGACAAATGAAAGCTATTTTTAGTGGCAACCACATTGCTATAAGACTGGTAATATTTATATTTGTCATTTAGACTCAGTACATCAAAGAAACTGGTAAACAAAAGACAAAAGGCATTTCTGGAAGCTGGTAAGAGACAATTTAGAATCCCAGAACTAACTGGAATAATAAAGGAATCTAAAGGCAGGGCTGCTAACTGCGGGGTATAGGGATTGTAGAATCATAGAATTGTAGAGTTGGAAGGTACCCTGAGGGTCATCTAGTCCAACCCCCTGCAATGTAAGAATCTCAACTACATCATGCAGATGACCATCCAACCTCTGCTGAAAAACCTCCAAGGAAGGAGAGGCCACCAGCTCTTACAGAAGTCTGTTCCACTGCTGAACAGTTCTTAGTATCAGAAAGTTCTCCCTGATACTTAGTTGGAATCTCCTTTATTGTAACTTGAAACCATTGGTTTGCGTCCTACCCTCCAGAGCAGGAGAAAACAAGCTGCTTCCATCTGACAGCCCTTTAGATATTGAAGATATGACAACTATCCCCTCTCAGTCTTCTCTTTACCAGCCTAAACATACCCATTTCCCTCAACTGTTCCATTGGCTGCCCTCCTCGGCACACACTGCAGCTTGTCAATATCTTCCTTAAATTGTGAACTGGATACAGTACTCAAGGTGTGGTCAAAGCAGAACAGAACGATTCAATTTGCTTGATCAGGGCACTATACTGATGCAGCCTAGAATAGCATTAGCCTTTTTTTGCTGCTGCATCGTACTGTTGACTCAAGTTACGCTTGTGGGTCGGCTAAGACCTCATATCCTTTTCACATGTCCTACTGGCAATCCAAGTGTCCCTCATATTTGTGCAGCTGGTTCTTATTGTCTTAAGTGTAGATTAAACATGTAGCAGGCCCCAAGCTAGCAAGGACGTACTAGGTATTTAAAAAAATGAAAGCTAAGTCAATCAGACATTTATAAATAAAACTAAAAGACAAATCATGGAAGCACCATTCTAAAGCTGCAGATACTGCTGTTGCTAAGCATGCATAATAACTTAATCAGAGGAAGGAATGCTAAGCAGCTTACCTGGGAATCTGGAGGGCAGCATCCCAAGGCAGCAGGGGAAAAACAGGAGAAGCTCATTGTTGCTGCAAGCCCATGGGTAGGCAAACTAAGGCCCGGGAGCTGGATCCGGTCCAATCACCTAAATCTGGCCCGCGGACGGTCCAGGAAACTGTGTGTTTTTACATGAGTAGAATGTGTCCTTTTATTTAAAATGCATCTCTGGGTTATTTGTGGGGGCATAGGAATTCATTCATTTTTATTTTTTTCAAAATATAGTCCGGTCCCCCAAAAGGACAGTGGACCGGCCCCCTGCTGAAAAGGTTTGCTGACCCCTGTGCTAGCCTGATGCTGGATGCAGGAGTGGAGTTGGCTCTGTGTATTGGAGTGTTTTTTTAAGTACTTTCCACATTATTTCGTTCATCCCTCCCCAAGTATGCTACCTTGGCTAGCTTAGGTATGTTTTACTCAAAGATAACATACTTTAAACAAATAAGGCTTCCTTCCTACTGAAAAAAAAAGTATTGCAGTCCCCCCTCCCCCTGATTTTCTATGTCTCTCCACACAACCACTACTGGTATTCATGTCTTTACTGGCTATATATATATTTTAATATACAGCAACCATAAAACAAAAATCTAAAATGAATCCTAAAACACTAAAAGAATCCACAAATACAATAACCAAATGCCATGCAGCTACAGCAAGTTAAAATTCCTACAGATTGTACTTTTACCCAAGGATATCTTGGGCATAGCTGTCAACTTTTCCCTTTTCTTGCGAGGAATCCTATTCGGAATAAGGGAATTTCCCTTTAAAAAAGGGAAACGTTGACAGCTATGACTTTGGGTGTTGCTGACAGTTGTGAAACCTCACATAAATTTGAGTATATGTTGCTCCTTGTTGTATATTTGTAAGTAGCATTTCCTCCCAGGAGCTCACGGCTGTGTACATTGCCTTCCCTTCTCTGTTTTTATCTTCACAACAGCCCTGTGAGGTAGGATAGGCAAAGGGTTTGTGAGTCAGACTCCAAAACTGTGAAATTGAGTATTTTTTCTTGTTTTAAGTGATGCCAAACAGTTTTTGTTTAACTATTTAACTAGGTAAAGGTACCCCTGCCCGTACGGGCCAGTCGTGTCTGACTCTAGGGTTGTGCACCCATCTCACTTAAGAGGCCGGGGGCCAGCGCTGTCCGGAGACACTTCTGGGTCACGTGGCCAGCGTGACGAAGCTGCTCTAGCGAGCCGGCACCAGCGCAGCACACGGAAACGCCGTTTACCTTCCCGCCAGTAAGCGGTCCCTATTTATCTACTTGCACTTAGGGGTGCTTTCGAACCGCTAGGTGGGCAGGAGCTGGGACCGAAAGACGGGAGCTCACCCCGCCGCGGGGATTCGAACCGCTGACCATACGATCGGCAAGTCCTAGGCACTGAGGTTTTACCCACAGCGCCACCCGCGTCCCTCAAACTATTTTGCTGTAAATAGCAGGACTATGAAATGTGGCAGTTAAAACAAGAGGGGCTGGCTTCTGGCTTTGTGCATGATTATTTTTTATTTACATAAGTGGTGATATCTACTTGTATTTTGCCTTTCCACCCAGGAGCTTAAGAATGTGTACATTATCTTCCCCTCCCTCCTTTTATCTTTGCAACAGCCCTGTGAGGTAGGTTAGGTTAAGTTAATATAGCTACATAAGCAACAGTTCTGACCAATAAATAGGTGAGGGAGATTGGGGGGTGGGCAATACTCATACAGTATACTAGGCCCAGGAAATTCTGTTAGTATCCCTGAGTAAATGAACCTAAGAATACCTTTTTAGATTAGCTGTTTTGTCCATACTTGGATGTGAACTTCCCTTAATTGCTGTTTACCATGAGCTTAACAGCCCAGTTATCTCAGTATCTATTCATGTGATCTCAAGGCTTTCTCTTTTCATTTGTCTTTCCTTTCTATCTTGCCCAGCTTTCTATTTTATTATATCCAATCGTATCTGCTTATTATGAAATAGAGTTTAATATACAGTGGTACCTTGGGCTAAGAACTTAATTCATTCCAGAGGTCCGTTCTTAACCTGAAATGGTTCTTAACCTGAGGCGTGCTTTCACTAATGGGGCCTCCTGCTGCCGCTGTGCGTGATTTCCGTTCTTATTCTGGGGCAACCACTCCCTGGTTAGCAGAGTTTGTAATCCGAGGTACCACTGTAATGAATGTCAAACAAATCCTTCAATTCATATTTTTTGCCACAGGGTGGCAGCCCTACCTAACCACCATCATCAACAACATTGTTGCCTAAAGCACATTGTTCCTGGTGAGGAATTTACTTTCCTTATAGAGGACTTTACATGTCCTACTTGCTTACATCAAACAATTCAAAAGCACTACTCTAAAATTTAAATTATAATATACGACTTGGCTAGTGGAATGATAATAGTGAGCTAGATAACATGAGAGTTACACACTGAGATGTTAAGTAAGCTACAAGTACCTAATTGCATCCCAAACCTTTTACAGCTTTGTATGTTAATATCAGTACTTCAAATTGGTCTCAGAAGCAAACAGGAAGCCATTGCAGATTGCAAAGAATAATGCCACTCAATAATTCAGAAGCAGCATTTTGCAATACTTGTCTTTTCCAAACAATCTTCAACAGCAGCCTTATGTACAGCACATTACAGTAGTTTAGGCTTAAGCTTCAGGTGGTTGTTTTTGAAAACGTACTTTGGAGACTAACCTCAGTGAAGACTGGGCTGTGCATTTAAGAACTGGAAACGGTCACATGAAAATTAGCAGTGGCTAGGAGGTGAATCTTAGTATCAGCAGCTCCATATTCCTATGAGGTCTATCAAATCAATACTATGTGCTGGAAAGAATTATTCTGTTCTTATGCCTTAGCTGAACTTTGCAGCAGACATATATGAAGAGTTGCTGCTGGGGCTGTTGAATGGCTAGTTTCTCACTCTCGGAGAGTGAGAAAAAATGTTTACACTGAAGGGATTATGATATATGGCTGGTAAATAGAATACCATAAACATATCTGTCCAACTTCTGCCGTAAACATTTTTGTTTCAGAGACAAATATAAAATAGGGCTTTCAATTTCATAGTAAAAGTTCTTGCTCTTTTTAGAGCAATGCATTGATTTAATAAACAACAAATTTTGTTGAAAGAAGTACTTTTTGAGAAATAGATTTGCAGGTACTGTTGGTTTTTTTGTGCCGCTTCATTGAGTTGAATTTTATCTTTTTAAAAAATACATGGGTGGTAATTATCTATGTCATGATTTTCTAGAATGATGTGATAGATAATAGAGTGCAATATGTGGTTTTTAATAGAAGGCGGAGGGGGAGAAATAAATTATTTGGGGCTATAAAAGTTTTGTTTTGCAAAAGCTTAACTGAATACCAGGTTTTCTGATAAATGCAGTAACTAAGAAGTAACACCAATGGTAATTTATCTAAATTGCTATTATAGGTTGGTATCTCTTACAACCCAAACATCACTATCCCCCTAGCTCTCTAACAATAAAACTAGTTCGTCTGTCATCATACCTTATGTAGCTCGTGAAAATTCTCCTGTGAATGTCACTCATTCTTTAACCCCTTTCACTTTTCACGTGTCTTCAGAGTTCCATTATGCAACTGGTGTTAATTAGATAGCGTTGTCAAATTGTGCCACACACTTTTCTGAAATTTAAAAGCATCTAATTCGTTAGGATAGAGGTTATATGACATTTTCATTAATAGATGTAAACAGTGCTTGAATGTACAGCACTATGCCTATTAAAAATCTGCTGAAAATCTAGATTTCTATTTCATAGTTGCCGTGTGATACAACTGCAATATTTTCCTCTGTATTTTTAAAAGATCATCCTGAATGGCTTACAGAGTAAAGCTACTATATTTTCCCTTCTCACCTCTCAGTGTTTACAACCCCTGGCCTTTAAATTACCTTTTCTACTCACAAACAATACTGTGGAGTCATCTACAGCAGTGCAAATACTTGAGGGGGAAAACTTAAGCAACATAGAGAGCAGTTTAGTTTTGACAGGTCTTCAGTTTAAGTAGAATATAAAACAGCTTAGGGGGATTTCATAACTAACATTTGCTCAGGTGAACAATGCCTTTTACTCTACATTGCTTCATTGCTGTGTATTATGAGATAATATAAAGTTGCGAAGTCGATACAGCTAGGGTGTGGGTGTGGTCCAGAGCCCATCTGGGCATAAGCATAGATTCTGCCACGGGGTTAACCTTGGTGAGGTTATCTCCAAAGGGGATGACACAAGGGGAATTTTTTTCCCTTTCGGTTGTCACTTCAGGGAGGTACAGGGACAAGGGCTTCCCCCACCATTAGTCAAGATACAGAATTGTAAGCCAGGGACTGCAGGTGGCATGCTTGTGACCATTACCTAGGGCGAGAACCAGGCAGGAAAAGTATTATAGTGGCATTACAGTCTTCTGTCTGACAGCGTGTGATGAGCCTACTACTGTGCCTTAGTTTATTATCTGTGGCTGTAATCTCCCAGTTGCATATAGTGTTACCAGGAGAAGCTGCGGCATAGCAACCCTGCAGCAAACCTTTTTAAAGAGATCGCCCAAAGTTGTTGAGCTGTTTTTAGGATACTGGCCAAAGTCGTTTCAGCTTTTTTGGGCAATATCTCCTTGAGGGATAGGCAGTGGCTCCGCTACCCTGCAACACCCATGTCGCCCAGCAACTTCCATGCTGCCTGGTGCGCCCCACCCCTCTCTTTCTATGCTACCGAGGAGAAGGTATAGTCAGAATGGAAGAACTAAACATCATCTGTGGTGGTGTCATGTAATAGGGCATTCTCTGTGATGATACCTTGGCTGTGAAATGCCATCCCTAGACAAACATCTGGTGCTAATGCTTGGTAAAAGGCAAATACCTGTTTGACTGGTCATTTATGGCATATTAGCCACTACTGCAACTGTTATTACTATGACTGAATTATGTTTAATTTTATTAATGCTTTTATCTGTTCTTAATTTGCTAGAATTGTTTATTTTTAACTATGAGGTAACCTGTCCTGGGATCAAAAATTCTTACATAAAACGAACAGCAATAATAAAAATTCTACTGTATCTAAAATAGAGAAAAACTGAAAACACCAACTACTGCTCATTCAGAGCTTGGCTATCCTGGGGCCTGAAGTTCAATAGAGACTGCAGCAGACAAGCAACTCTAAGGAGGATTCAAAGCAGTGGTACTGCTCTTATCACTTGTTAAGTGCAGCTGGAAAAGGGTTTTATTCTAATTTTTAAAATAAAGAAAGAAATGGGGTCATAAAGTAACACCCACCACAATACAGTGAATACGTACTGAGCTTCAAATAGTCTCACTCACAGCAATCACATCATGCCCACTGATGTGGACAGAACATAGTGGGGTGGACAAATAGAAAAAGCATCATTCTCCTGATAGTGTTGAAAATAGAAGAAGCACCATTCTCTTGATAGTGTTGAAAATCAATACAATTCCTTTTGCAGCTTACAGTGGAAAAGCAATGGCTAGGATGGCAACAGAAACCATCCATCTGGAAGCCACCTCTGATAAAAATGTTTGCTTTCCTTAACAAGTTTCCATACAATTTATTTTAAATAAGTAAGACATATTTTTAGTTTATTCAATAGATAAGCAGCACTCTGTAACAGTACTGACCATAAGGGAAGAAGAAGAGGAGAAGGAGGAGGTGGAGGAGGAGGAAGAATTTGGACTTGATATCCCACCTTTCACTCCCTTTAAGGAGTCTCAAAGTGGCTAACATTCTCCTTTCCCTTCCTCCCCCACAACAAACACTCTGTGAGGTGAGTGGGGCTGAGAGACTTCAGAGAAGTGTGACTAGCCCAAGGTCACCCAGCAGCTGCATGTGGAAGAGCGGGGAAGCGAACCCGGTTGACAAGATTACGAGTCCACTGCTCTTAACCACTACACCACATTGGGAAGCAAACACAGATAACTATGCACACAGCTTTGTAATCTAGAATATCTCACCTGAGTGCAGTGGCGTAGCGTGGGGGGTGCAGGGGGGCCGGCCGCACCGGGCGCAACATCTGGGGGTTAGGGTTAGGGGGCGCAAATCCACGGGTTAGGGGGTGCAAATTACTTGCCTTGCCCCGGGTGCTGACAACCCACGCTACACCACTGCCTGAGTGAAGTTTATTTCTGAGTAGGCATGTGCACATGGGATTTGCTCCTGCTTTTCCCAGCTTGGACCAGATGTCTGCATTTGGGTCATCCATAATTTTTTTAATGCGCACAAAAGAACCCCAAACCATTAGGATGCACTGAAGGATTACCACCGTTACTGAAATGGAATGCATTGATAAAACAAAGTAGATAAAACAAAGGCCTTGGAGACTAGGCATACATTCTTAAAGATGCTGAAGTGGAAGTAGTGTCTAATGCACAGCATTTTTCTCATCTATTTTTATCCTACCAGAGTCCCAATTACTCTTTTTAACTAGTTTGGGTCAACCAACAACACTAAAAAACAAAACATTGCAACTTCAGTAAAGTGCAGCCGCACCTAAAAGGAGTAAGAGCCTATGAAAGAAAGAACAAACAACAAAGGAGGCAAACAAGTTTCTGTGAACTGTTTTAAATTATGTCAAGGTTTCCAAATTATTTCAAAATGTACTTCTAGTTCACCTTAAAAGTTCAAGATGGTCAGTAGAAAAAGTGCATACACAAGTTCGCAATAATACATATGCTTTTTTAAAAATCATCAAAATGGAAACAAGCAGCAGAATGCCAGCAAGCAGATAAAAAAAAAATTACAAACTGACATTAAGAAACAACCAAGCTGTAGGCCTCCCCAAAAAGGATAGTCTTCACGTAGCACAGCAAAAGAGCATCATCACCCTAGGCAGCGGCTTCCAAAACTTGAGCCCAGTCTCACTCCAGTCAGGTGCAAAATTGGGACACACAAGAGAGCCTCTTGATGAACTCCTATTGAGGAAGGAGTTCACTGTATCATTTCCTGGAGCAGTAGGCTGCTATGTGTAGAAGCGGACCTTGAAGTTAAATGCTTTACCATACAATTTGATGTAGGAAGTTGTGTATGTGAAGAACGGGAAGTGTATCTGTTCCAACGCCTACGCATGGAATGATTCACGTATGGTGGGCTTCCAGCAAAGAAGCATCCCTGCTATGGATGGGACGTACGTGTGGGTATGGGGAACGCATAATATGTTGTATTTCAATAAGAAGCCTTTAAGGAAGGTGAAAGGACACTGGTTTAAGGAGCCAGTGCTGCACTTTTCAGCAGAAACCGTCAGGGGGCACTGTGACTCCAGGGTTGGCAAAAGAAATGAGAGAAAGCGGCGCTGGGAGGGTGCTGGGCTGAGGGGAAAGGCGTTGGGGGGAAGCTGAGGATTGCAAAGGACGCCACTCACTGCTTGCTGCTTCTTGCCCCTCTTCTTTCGACACAGGCGTCTCCTGACCCTTGCCATTCCCTTTCTTAAATCTAGGTATGCGCAGGCAAGACCCCGTCTCCGCCTCTCCCACGAGCATTTCCTCTACACGTCAAGAGAGGGAGAAAGATAAAAGCATCCACGTCCATAGTCACCACAAGGAAGCGCCGCCGGGCTTACCCGACTCTCCTCCAGCCCTTCTGCGTGAGGGGAGGCGAGAGGGAAGCCAAACCCGAAGGGCCTCAACGGCCACTACACCCAACCAAAGGGGAGCGCGAAGGGAAACGAGGCTGTTCTGCGTCACGTGGAGCCAATATGTTTCTCCTAAGAAGGCAGAGGCAAGGGAAGAGGAAATAATTTCTCAGAGAGCGAAGGCAGCGGCACTTGGAAAAACTCCCGGGGGGGGGGGGACAACGGAGGACCCCCCCCTTCCTCCCCGCGAAGTCTGGGCGCTCTTGGCCCCGCATAAATTCTGTCACGGAGTGGCAGAGAATTACAGGAGAGGGAAAGGGCAGGTGAGTCAGGGTGAATAAAGGGTTGAGCATACCTGAAAGCTGGCAAAGAGAGGGGAAGTAACCCCTGCTTTTCTGTGCTGGATGTGCTCTTCCCTGGAACAGAAATAATGGGCATCAAATCCACTGCTAAGGGCGGGACAGTACAGTGGTACCTCGGGTTACATACGCTTCAGGTTACAGATTCCGCTAACCCAGAAATAGTACCTCGGGCTAAGAACTTTGCTTCAGGATGAGAACAGAAATCATGCGGCAGCGGGAGGCCCCATTAGCTAAAGTGGTGCTTCAGGTTAAGAACAGTTTCAAGTTAAGAACAGGCCTCCGGAATGAATTAAGTACTTAACCCGAGGTACCACTGTATTGCCATTCTAAAGTGGAACAGCCTGCTCCCTCCCCCCCCCTTTGGTATATAGAAATAAGTCATGGGCCCACACTCTGATGCTACAACTGCAGCTTACACCATCCCAGACCCAGAGCTGGTCCACCCATGAGGCAAGGGGAGGCAATTGCTTCAGGTGGCAGAATCCACAGGGGCAGCAGATCCTGGTGTAGAACTTCATTCCCTACTCTTGTTCCTAGTGTAGATCTTCATTCACCCCTTCTTCCCTAGCGGGAAGGGGAAACACCTGAGGTTCGCCTCAGGTGCCAAAATGTCTTGGGCCACCCGTCTCCATCACTGCTGTCGCCACCCGCAAGAGGACTCAACAGCACACGAGCTTGACTATGTGATCGGAAAAGCATGCTGAAGAGTGTCACCAGCAGCTGGTGAGAATGAGGTAAATACCTCTAGATTTCTTCCCTTGCCCTGTCATTGAGACTAGAAAAGAGCAGAACTCAGTTACTTCTGGAGGGAGCAGGAAAGAGCGAGTTCCTCTTATTTTCTTGCCTTATTTGGAGACTGCACATTGAGAACTGGCCCCATGGTGCTATTTGGAGATAAAAGACAAGCAGCTACCCATTCTCTCTCTCACTCTCCTCTGTGGTACAAGACAGAGCGGCCTCACTCTTCTACTCTCTGCTGCTGGGTATGCTGTTATACGCCAGTGGCTCCCTCCCTAGACCAATGTTTCCTGCTGCACACCCCAAAGAAAGGGGCCATGCAAGCAAAGAGATGCAGCAGCAGCCATCCCTGGCCCAATTTCTGCTGCCCAGGGAAGGAAAGGCTGGATGTTCCTGTAGCAGCAGCTGTCTTGCTGTCCTTGCTCTGCCCTGAAGCTGGAAAGGAGGGTATGAGAGATTCTGCTAGGTTTTCTGGTTGGAATTCTGCCACTTCTGAGGAAGACAGGGAAGCTTGCAAACAGGGAATGACAGAGGTTGCTCCTGCTTCCTCTGTCTTGCTCACCTCTCTGGGTGCCACAGGCATGAGGATTGGACCTTTGATGCTGCCTGTGAGAAAGCAGAAGCAGTTGCTTTCTGTCTGGGTGGTACAGCATGGAGAGCAACATAGGAAACTGCCTTATACAGAACATTGGTCCATATAGCCCAGAGTATTGCCTACACTGGCAGCAGCTCTCCAGGTTTCAGGCAGGGGACCCTCCTAGCCCTACCTGAATATGCCAGGGATTGAACCAGACATCTGCATGCAAGGCAGATGTTGTGCCACTAAGCCAGTCTCCCACAGGTTTGGTCATGGAGAGAGCAAGCACATCATCCTTTCACCTGCTTTCTGTTTCTGGGTGGTGCAATGGTAGGGACTGTATGCATTGAGTCCAAGCTACTGTGCAAGGGTTGAGTGATCACTCAGCAATGATGGGCTGGGAAGGATAGAGCATACGTTTTACATTCAAAAGATCCCAGTTTCAATTCCTGGTGTCTCCAGGTAGTGGTGGGTGAGACTCCTTTCTGAAACCCTGGAGGACTGCACACCTTGCACCCAGCGGCAACAGCTCTGCTGCCAGGTCACTTTTGACCCAGCGGCAGAGAGCATCCCGCCTCAGCCACAGCGAGATGCACCCAGCCTCAGCAGCCCAACCTCCACTGCTGGGTCAGGCCTGACCCAGCGGCAGAGAGCAGGGAGAGTGGGCAGCAGCTTCCCCGCCCCTCTCCTACCCTGAACTGAGGCGCAGGGGAGGGCGCTCTCTGCGGCACACCCCTCTTGGGGGCCCATCCCACCCACCCACCCACCCAGGTAGCACAGGCATACGCTCCACCACTGAATATACATTTCGAGTGACAAAACCTAGGGTAAAGAGGTGTGCCTTCAGCATTTATCAAAAGCTGTGTAATAAAGGTGCCAGACTCACCTCTGTGCAGAGGTAATTCCGCAGCTTAGGGGCTACTGTAGAGAATGCACTTTCCCATTCCCTGACCCCCTGAGTCTTTGAAGGTAGGGATACTACTTAGAGGGCTCCCTCTGTCTATCTCAGCACCCAAGAGGGTCTGTAGGGAATGGGGTAGTCTTTCAGATATTTGGGGCCTCTCTACATTTTGGGCTTTAAACACTTAACATGAACACTTTGAATTGGGTCCAGAAATGAACTGTCAACCAGTGCAAGTGTTTTAAAATGGGTTATATGAGATGTAAATGAAATCCCAAACAATACTCTGGCTGCTGCATTTTGGACCAACTGAAGTTTCTGAGTAATCATGAAAGGCAGTCTGACATAGAGTGCATTGCAATAATCCAATCTGGAAGTTTCCAGAGTATGGAGTGCAGTGGCCAAATCATCTCTGTCCGAAAGGGTTTCCCACTCTTGTACACCAGGGTAGCTACATTTAGTCCAAATCTCACCAGGTTATGTTCCATCCATTATATTACAGTGAGCCTGCCAGTCAACACAGTATTATGAATCTGCTCTGACGTGAAGACCAAGTTGAGAGTATGCCCAGCCAGCTACATGTGTAGGACCATTGATGTACTGAGGAAACCCTGTGGTTCTCATGGAGGCCATGAAGTCCTGAGCTGGCCCATTTGATGCAGCCTTGGCATGTGTGTGTATGTGTAATTGGGTTTTATAAACAAGAATAATGTTATACAGTACAAATAAGTATATCAAGTTTTATCATGTCATTTGTATATCACAAAAATAACATAATAAATGTGGAAAAATATCTACAACATATGTTTCATTATTAGTGGTCAATATATAATTTCTTGGTTCATGAATTGGTTTAAACAATTAGGAAGAAGGGGAAGAGGAGGAGGGGGAATGGTGAGTGGGCTGGTTATGCTATTATTCTACTTAGTGGCATGTATATTGAAGTCCTGCAGCATTGGAGAACCATTTGAGGGTTCTCCAACATCTCTACCAGCTCTATCAAAGGATGGTTGCCGCTTGCTCTCCTCACTCACACATCCTTTCTCTTTGAATAGTACAGAAAGGTTTCACCCTATGGAGTCATCTGGAGCCTAGCCAGCAAAAGGAGGAGGCTGCTACTTGGGCAGGGCAGGAGGCAGGCCATGATCTCTGCCTGTTCACTTCTTCTGTTCACTCTTTCACTGGGCGGTATGGTGGGGAGGATTGGGCACAGTCAGCCCTAATTCCCACAATGGTGCCTCTCAAAGGTGAGAGTGAGAAAGAAGCGGCTTGTCCTGCAGGGTTGGCCCTAGCACTATACAGAATGAGGTGGCTACCTCAGGTGACAGGTGCTCAGGAGTGCTGGTAGACGACTGTGTGTACTACATAGTTTGCCCTTGGCAGAAAATGCTGTCTCTGCCTTGAAGTAAAGATACAGCAGCCACTCTTCTTGGGAGCTCCATTTTGCCCTTTGTCTCAGGCAGCTGACCACGGCTATCGCCTGTAGTGCGCCACCTGAAGAGAGTGGACAGAGGTTGCTGCTTCTGGTTACCCTCTGCAACCCTGTGGGGGCAATCCGCCATGAAAAGGTGGGCAGGTGAAAGGAATTAGGAGCAGGAGCAGCTGCCTGCTTTCCCACCCTTGCCCCTCCCTCCGACCCCATGAGCAGCCAGAGCGCAGAGCGAGAAGCCCATCCGGGGAGGTCTGAGGGGTGCTTCCCGCCATTCTTTCCTAGCTGCTGCTACAAGGCAGGGAAAAGGGGAGAGAAACAGCTGTTTACGGTTCCTCTCCTCACGAGCAACAGCTGCTGATTGGCTGCTCTTCCTTCAAAATAAAAGTGGCAGTCTTAAGCACACTTTTTTCAAATACTTAAGAATGAGACTTGTCGCCGCTGAGGAAAACGCCTCCCTCCCTCTCCCAAGGCTTCAGGTGAGACATTATTAAACGCAGGAAAGGCGGGAGCCTGGGAAACTGTTGAATTTCTGGGCTTCACTCGGTGAGGTACCGCGAATGTCAGTTGCTCGCCGCCTTCTTTCCCTGAGGGAGAAGCAGGGCGGATGACTCGTCAGAGGCTTGGCGAAGGGTGGCGGGCTGGGTGGACCTGCGAGCCGGAGGACGAGGCGAGGGCTGAGGGCAGCGTGCTCTGTTTTCCCCCTCCGGCTGACGCGAAGGCACAGAAGGCGGCGAGGCTGCCGCACGCGCCGGGAGAGCGTGCTGGGGTCCTCCCTCCCCACCTTCACACGGGGCGAGATTAAAATTCAGGCGCGCACCCAACCTCGTCAGCCAGTCCACAGCGTCGTTCCGGGCAGAGGGGCAGAGGCAGGTGAGACTGACGAGGGGAAAGGAACTGCCAAAGCCATAAAAGCCACAGGAGGGGGAAACAAAAGCCAACCCAAGGGGAGGCAGCGACACGAGAGACGGGCAGAGAGGCAGTCACTGGCGCGCGCTCTGGAGATGGGACCGGGCAGAGAGCTCTGGGGGGTGGGGGGCCGCTCAAGGGAGCCCTCCTGAGAGCCAGAGGTTTCCAG